TGAGGGACCGTCAGGAAAGTCCCTGGGCTGGACGTTTGGGCAAAGACCCCAGATCTGGGCCTACACATTTCTCTCAGTGGGCCTAGCCCCAGATGCTGACCCCTGTCTGTCTCTGTGTCTGTGTATGTATCTGTCTGTCTGTCTCTCTGTCTGTCGTTGTGTCTGTCTGTGTGTGTGTATATGTGTGTGTGTGTGTGTGTGTGTGTGTGTGTCTGTCTGTTTGTGTGTCTGCCTGTCTGTGTATCTGTCTGTCGTTGTATCTGTCTGTCTGTTTGTCAGTGTCTCTCTCTATCTCTCTATCGCTCTCTCTCTTTTCCTCTCTCTCTCTCTCTCTCTCTCTCTCTCTCTCTCTCTCTCACACACACACACACACACACACACACACACACACACATACATGCACAAACACATACATACATACACACACGTAACCAATTAATGTACATACACACACACGCGCGCACTGTGTGTTGACGTTATCTCGGAATGTCATTAAATGATTCCTCTGATTTGTACTGGTCAAGGGCCGGGACTAAAGATCAATGAAGGTAGTCATGAGAGCTTGTTTTTGAACGCTAACTTCAGAAGAAAATGAACCACCAATAGCCTGATAAGTTCCATCAGAAAAATGTGCCAACGTTTAAAAAAATATTCAATTCATCGCGTTCAAGGCAATGGATTATTTTAACTTTGACGTTTTACAATCTTTTTTTTTTTTCGTTTTTCTCAAAAAGTACTTTTTCAAAATGGTGACCACGCGGGGGAAATCGTTTTTCTGAAACTATCAGAGCTACATGTTTGAAATTTGGCTCACAGATGCTGTATAAAAAGTTCTGTGATCATAGGCTGGGATTTTGTGAAAAAGTGATTACTTGTTGAAATATTCCTGATTTTTTTACACCGTACTCGTTTTTTTCTGTGCGGGTTCCGTGAGATATCAATATTTTTGTTGTTTTTAATGATAGGAAAAAATCAAAGCCTATGATCACAGATAATTTGTTTGTTAATATGTGTGCAAAGTTTGAGGTTTGAATTTTAATATTTTCTGAGGAAAACGATTTCCCCCGCAACATGGCCAAAAATCCAAGATGGCCGCCGTGGAAACCAACTTTTTAATAAAACTCGACAAATTCCGTCATGATTATTCTTCTAATTAGTCTATAATTAGCCTATATCACCTTTAAAAATTGAAAGAAAGTCAAACCCCTAGAAAATTCCTCGTATCTTGTACATAACCCCAAGTTTAACAACTCTCTCCTCATCCCATGTACTTTTATCAAGCCCAGTGTTGTATACCTTGTGTAACTACAGTGATATATTGTTTGTGTAGCGGTCCAATGGTGAATGGAGCTCTGCCTTTATATAAGTCATAGGGTTGGAAAAACGACAGAAGGGGCTGTAAGCTTTTTCTGAGAGACTGTGCAAGAGTAATTTGATTGTAAAATGTTTTACGCTTCTATAGACACCTTTTAGATTATTACGGAGGCGGGCTGCTTCGACCCCACCTGTCAAAACCAACACGAAGGGAAGACAAAGAAGTGACTGGACAACATTTCTAAGTGGTCAGGAAATAACTTCTTGTATATATATACTTTTTTACATCCCCATCGGCATAATTTATATCAACCAGGGCTGAGAGAGATACAACATCCCAGCAGAAAGACCGAGATACTCGATAGAAATCTCTCAAGACTCGGGAATCTAACTCGGGTCTCCTGTGTGCGACATCGACGCGCCAGACAGCTACAGAACAGGCGCTGGTGGACAGACCTCAGTTTCTCTCTGGCTAGCAAGACAGACAAGGACCGTGAGGGGTGGAGACGTGTTGTGAGATCATCGTCAACGTGCTCTAACAGCATTCTTATAGGCGGTGCACAGTGGATGATCGGCTCGGTTCTGTTCAGTTCCGTTCGGTTCCGTTCCGTTCGGTTCTGTATGCTTCCCGGGAAGCTGAGAATGTTTCGGAGTGTCCTATGGTCTGCTGGGGTAATAATATAGTGTAAAGCGCATAGAGCCTGCTGCTGAGCGGGGATATGCGCTATACAAATGCTATCTATTATTATTATTATTATTCTGTCCAGTTTCTGACAGCTTCAGGGCTGACTATAGACCCCTGCCTCAAACCGATCGCCCGACTCGCGGCCTTGGAAAGTAACGCGTTTGATCTTTGCGGTCATCTCCGGTTCGTTCGTTTTGTGTCACGATTGTGCTATTCTCCCTCTACGGAGGAAGGTGTGGCTAGCCCCGACGATCAAACCGAACCGAACCGATAGTGTCAATGTGCACCGGGTATTAGCAGCAGACGGGAAACTGGGTCCGGCCCACTCTGGGATCGGTTCTCTAATAAAGGGTGCCCATTAGCCCGATCAGGTCAAGTTGGGTCGATTTGGTAGTCGGGGTGATTTTTGTAGTGTGCACTGAAACCCCCAGAAAACAACCGACCCGACCCGACCCAGCACGACCCGATTGCGCCAATGGGCACCCCCTATTATACAAACCGATCGCCCTACTCGCAGCCTTGAAAACAAACGTGTTTGTTTTTGAGTATCGCCATCGGTGTGTCTGCTTCGTTCGGTTTGTGCCACGATGGTCGATTTTCATCCTCAATCTGGCTAGCCCTGCCTACGAAACCGAAACGAACCGAAACGAACAGATCGTAAGGACGTAGCGGACACATGTCTAACCGCCAGCAGACCAAAGGCAAGGCTGCGTCACAGTTTGAATCTTCATACTCAAAGAAAGATACAGAAGGTCATTTTTACCATCATCTATCAAAATGCTTCCATCTTAACCATCTTATTTAGTGTACTTACGACCTTAGAGCATGCATCAAAATAACATTGAGTGTGTATCTAGCTTACGATTATTATTGTTTATATTGCTGCTCATTTATATTATGTATGTGATTGTAAGCCTACTTGTGTGTGCATGTGCGTGCACGTGTGTACGTGTGTGTGTTTGTGTGTGTGTGTGTGTGTGTGTGTGTGTGTGTGTGTGTGTGTGTGTGTGTGCGTGTGTGTGTGCGTGTGTGTGTGTGTGTACTCGTGGTGGAACACCAAACCAATGTGCCAGGATCTGGACAATAAAGATGTATCTTAAATGAGAAACACGAATCTGCATAATATCTCACAGTAGGCCTATGTAGATCTACATTATTGTCTGCCCCTTTAAGCTTTAGATAAAGAAAAGAGAATTGAAAACAATCTGCACAATAATAAATTAAAACTTTAAAAGAGAGTGTCTTCAAGCGTTGTCGAATGACCAGGATACCAGTCTTCAACGAGTTAAAGAAAAGGTTCAAGAGGTAGGAATGATGTAAGTATCAGGGGGATATTCTGTTTTACTAACGGTTTGATATAAGATTTTTTGACAAGCTATAGAGGTGTTTCAAAAGTAACATATCATCCCCTTTTTAAACATTTTCTTTTACCTTTGGGGAAATCTGTCTTTGCTTTTTGTGAGTTCAGTGTTTCACCCCTATTATGCGAAAAACTTTTAAAAAAATTTGTTTTAGGGGAGGGAGGTATTTTTGTGCGTTTGATTAATGTTTACCCGTTAAACTCAACGAGGAATTCTTGGTACTATTCACAACTTTCGCTTCTCATGGCATCATTTAGAAATAGGTCTCGAAAGACATGAACAGTTGAGATAAACAGTCGTATTCTGTAATAGTGAATCCTACATTCACATATTCAAAATTAAAAATAAAAGAAACTTGAACAACAGGTGCAATAAAACAACGTATACACCAAAACGCTAGTTTAGATTAAGATGTTTCACCACAGCTGCTTTTGCGCATCCTGTTCGTTTACCCGTTTCTATGAGCTACCAAAGTTCTCCTGCCAGGCACAAGATTAATTTCAGCCGACCGTATCAAGGACAGCCCGCGTCCATCCAGGCCAGGTGTAGCGTTACCAGAGAGAGGACAGTGACGGTATAATTCAGGTGGCTTCGAAACCGCACGACTTAAAACAGCTTGTTTATTGTTGTGATTTCTGCACTGGCGGAGAGAGTCTTGTTTTTAAGGTAAGAAACGGAGACAGGCGAAAATCAGTTACATGATTCTGGTTTATTTTAGTTAAGATGAGGTAATATAAGAAAAGATGGAATTTATAATATGATTAGATAAGGTGAGGTGGGATTTAACAAACCCCCCAACATGTTTGTTGATCCTCCGAGGGCAGAAATTATCAGTAGTCGCCTTAGGTGTTGCTTTAACAACCGCTGCTAGTGTTGATTTTGTCTTTTTGATTTTTGGATAGGGTTACTGTTTTTGGTCTTATTTTTGTTCTGATTATTCTCTCTCTCTCTCTCTCTCTCTCTCTCTCTCTCTCTCTCTCTCTCTCTCTCTCTCTCTCTCTCTCTCTCTCTCTCTCTCTCTCTCTCTATATATATATATATATATATATATATATATATATATCAATCTATCTATCTATCTCCTTCTGCCCCCCCCCCCCATACACACACTTGCTTTGTAACTCATCAAGGACCAACAATTCCTCTCCTTGGATACCTGTTACCAGTTTTGTGCCAAGTTTGTCCTAGTTTCTTGGTGTCTGTCCCCACCTTTCTCCGCCACTTTGTTCTTGGCGTGCTACGTTCCTATCAGAGAAGATTTGGGTATTCGCATTGTCGATTTTTCAAAGTGGCTTGAATTCATCACCATCTTTGTTTCACCTTTTTCCTCCTTTCTTTTGTTTGCCATTTCTAACTGTCCTTTAGAGGGGACAATTTCAAATTCAAACCATCTCAGTCTCAAAATCAGTTCCAAGCATCAATTAATGAAAACCTGCATTGCATTTGAACAGCTGCAACTTAATTATACCCTTTCTCAGTATTTGGAACCTCGGGAAATTTCTCATCGTCCACCTTTCTTCCGAATCTTCATCACCCTTCCTTTGTAGTTGTAAGATTCCGCAACCTCAAGAGGACCCTCTTAAAAAGTACACACTACGTCGTCACACCTCTGTATATACAATATTATTATCATATTACAGCGACCGCCTGCCTAAAGCGATCACCACTTGTAGGTAGCATCTATGCTTGTGGATGACATTCACTAGGTAAGAGTAAGCGTCCACGTCCGGTGCCAGTCCACTTGACGGTCTACCGCTTTGTTTCTGTTCTACCACCAGACTAGTCTGACAATTGTTTCACTTCACGATCTACTAGTCTGCTAAAACGAACGACATTGGCCCTAATCCTAACCTTAACCCAAATACGAACTTAAACTTTAAGCCAAATCCTAACCCTTCGGGTAAAACCATATGTGAGGCCGCGTGGTGGAATCAGGCTCTCGTCAAAATAATCAAAGTGAAGAAATTTGCATTTTTCCTCAGGTTTGTGAATTTTTATCAAATTTTTGTTTTTGGCTCAACACCTTTCATGCCCATTAAAGAACTCATTTTTGTGTAGATTTTCTGAAAAGCGTTGATTAAAGGCACAAAAATGGAAATTTTCAGTTACCACGGACTCTTAAGCATAGGAAGTAACTAATCTTTGGCGGCCATTTTCTCACTAAATTTACCTCTGAAAACAGGTGACTTCCACCTCCTTCTTTCGCAAATATCTCAACTTGTATTTAAGATAAATGTATTTTTTTCCCTTCAAGTTAAAGACAGTTGAACAAGCTTTAAGATGGTACCAATAACTCTATATGCCACAAAATTGACGAGAGCCTGATTCCACCACGCTGCCTCACATATATTAATGCCCGACACCGACAGTCAGACCAAACCAGCAGTTTTCTGTCACCTACGGCCGACCATATTAACACCGGAGTTTGGCGGTCAGACACCACCGTCTTGCAAATATGGCGAGGGGTAGAAGAAGAAAATTGTTGTTGTTGTTGTTGCTTTTGAGACGCAGACAGAAAAGGAAACCCAAGACAAAATGATTTTCAGTGCATCCCATCCAAAGAAAGCGTGATACACTAGGTGAATTTCATCATTTGTTTCCGCAGTTGTTGGAAGATAGTAAAAAGCATGAAACATAGCTGTTAAAATGAACTGCTAGAGATATGCAGAGCTGACCAAGAACTGCTAGAATTTCGTGTAGTGTCATTGAGGTGGGAAAGGGGACACAACTATGCAGAGACAACATCATTAAAATTACGTGCCATCTCGCTCCACAGACCGTCTTCGATTGAACATGTTTTATCGGACACGACTCAGGACATCGAGCGTCTGTATGGTAGCCGAAACCGTTTTTTGTTATCTTCCAATGCTAAAGAGCCGGGGCGCATTCTTTTGTCCCCGAAGACGGTCTGGTCTGACCCTCCGTGTCAGGTGTTAGTATGGTTGCGCCTTACTCTAACTCTAACCAATTGACACAGCATAGGTAGACGATGGTCAATCACGTGATCGTCTAATGGACTGGCACTCCACGTCTTTTATTGGCGTCTCTTGATAATGTTCACTTCACCTACAAACCACAAATTATGTATGGCTTCAAGATGAAATCAGGCAAGCGTTCATCAAAATAATGAAATGGAAGAAACCGACCTTTGTTCCGCCCCTGGGCAATATTTATTAATATCTGTTTTGTTTCAGCAACTTTAATGTTAATTTAGAAACAAAACACATCTATGTGAGTTATTTTTTAAAACGTTCATCATAGGCACAAAAAAACCCAACAACAACAAACAAACACAGATTTGCAGATTCCAATAACCCTAAAGGTTACGAAGTCAACAAACTTTTGTGGCCATTTTCTCGCTTACCTCCTTCAATACCATAATACCTCGACTTCCTTTTAAGATAGATGTGTGTTTTTCCATCAAAAAAGAAAAAAAAAAACGTTCTTCTTCTTCTTCTTCCTCGTTCTCGATGACAGCAGCTAGACAGTCAGTCCGATGTCGTGCACAAACTCTGCAGTCCACTTCAAATCTGAGAGGCTGCCATAGAGCTTTCTCTCTAAGGGAGTCACATTCTGCCATGTCAGTGTACGAAGGATGGCGTAGCGCGGGCAGTGCTGAAGGATATGGTTGGCATCCTCTTGGTCGTGTCCTCATTCACAGATCGCGGACTCTCCCACTTTTAATTTAGTGAGCATATGGTTAATAAAACAAATGAACAAATTTTAAGAGTTTATCAATAATTCCGTTATGTGACAAAAAATTGACGAGCACCTGATTCCACAGCGTCGGGACACACATTATCTTGCACCTCTACATGACGACCATATGCCAAAAGCGATAATCTTTTGTAGCAGCCATAATGATTTCTCGGTCCATTCGGGGATAGACGTTAAACTCAGAGGTCCGGCCTCCTAAATAACCTAACAGTGTTGATGGGGGCATTAAACTATACCATTTTCACGTCATATTATTTTGTTGTAAAATATTTTTTTTCTTGCAGTTTGATCTCGCAGTAACCTGGCGAAAAGATGAAGACGTCTTACATTTTGACGGTGTCTGTTTTGGCGGCGTTCTGTTTCTGCCTTAGTACCAGTCAAATGATGATGAGAAAAAACAAGAAAAGGGGCAAGAGAATGCGATGTGGAATGAGTATGTGTTTTCCGTTAAATATAACTTTGAATTTCACTCACTCACTCCCTCCCTCCCTCCCTCCCTCACTCACTCACTCACTCACTCACTCACTCACTCACTCACTCACTCACTCACTCACTCACTCACTCACTCACTCACTCACTCACTCACTCACTCACATACTCACTCACTCTCTTATTTACCCATTTACACACTCTCATTCACTCACTCACTCACTCACTTAACGGACTCAACAAAACCCCAAATTTAACTGAGACTGCATTTGCTTTTTAAAATGACTTAATAATTTTTCTTGTAAACCCCCCCCCCCCCCCCACCCACTACAACTCAGAGCCCCCATAGGCACCCGTTACTGTTTGGGGAAATCAATCTAACAAACTGAACTTACACGGAGAAGACAAGTACTGGTTCAAATCCCAAAGAGGAACAACTTAGGTTCGTTTGGGCAGTTTTCAAGGTTCTCCAAGCATGTGGCTCAGTCTAGATCTAGTCAGGGATTAACGATAGCTCCGTATTTCTCACTGCTTGTTACGTAGTGACGCACTTGTCATATGTGAGGCAGCATGGTGAAATCAGCCGCTCGTCAAAATATTGAAACAGAAGAAACTAACATTTTTCTGCCAGATTGCCAATTTTTATCGAATTTCTGTTTTTTAGCGTAACACCATTGTTGTCCAATTAAAAGCACACTTCTGAGTGGATTTTACTGTAAATACGTTGATTAAAAGCACAAATAATGTAAGTTTTCAGCTTTCATGGACTGTCAAGCTATGGAAATAATCAGATTTTGTCGACAATTTTCTGGCTAATCATATCTTTGAAACCAGGCAACCCACCTTCTTCAATCTCAAGTATCTCAACTTCCATTCAAGATAGATGGGTATTTTTCCCCCGATAGCAAGACAACTGAACTAGCGTTAAGATGATACCAATAATTCTACATGCCCAAAAATTGACGAGCGTCTGATTCCACCACGTTGTGACACATATTATGTTGTTATGCATCTACTCAGTAAGTATGACTGGCGTCTGTGGTGCAGTGGTTAATTAAGCACTTCGCCGTCGCACACAGAAGACGTCAGTTCGAATCCCAGGTTTATCGAGTTTCTCCTCCTGTCTGCTGGGACGTTGTGTCACTCCCTGTCCAGGTTGGTCCAAATAGGCAGGGTAGAAGAAGGCTGCCTCCTAAATGATCTATATATCGAGTTGCAAAAGTTCTGTCACACCCATTATAGTACAATAATTTTCGGTATAGGGTAAGAATAGCAGTGAAAATTAAAAGTATGACTTGTGGGACTTATGAGACTTCTTGTGCAAGAGCAGACCCCAAAAAAATCCTAAACCGGAAGTAGTACGAGGACAAAGTTATGGTATTGATTTCTCTCGGTCTGTGTTGAAATCAACGCTTCCTGCACTCAAAATTTGCTTTGAATGACGTAGACAATGAGTAAACACACCTAACACACTATAAAATTCCATACTTTTTGATGTTTAGGTACCTTTTTTTTCCTGTTTTCAAAATTTAGAAAATGATGAATTCAGAAAATAAAAGGGCCGTATGTATGATAAATTCTTTAATTGCGCTTTCTGCTGTTGCAAGACACGTAAATGTTTGCAGAGGAACCATCTAACGCTTGAATTAACGTTTTAACACCACTAGAACTGTCCAAGACAAACCGAGACGTAGGCAACCAAGGGCGACAACTCGACATCAGAATTGGGTTATCGTCAACACCCACATTGAAAAACCATTCCAACTTAGTGCAGAGACTGCCAGGCACTTCGGACAGTCTTGAAACATCATTATTAGACATTTATAAGGTCGTGGATTACGTGATTATCGCCCTTTATAAGGAGCCATTCTAACCCTGTTTCTTAGAAGAAATCGCCAAATTTTGGCTCAACAACATTGTTGATGAAACTAAAGACGTTGGTAAAGTGTTCTTCTTAGCAATGGTTCAGGTTTTTAATTCGTCGCATTGATGGAAGAGAAAACGTTTTTAAAAGAAGAGAATAGAAATTTCACAAATCCAACGTCACCCAAGAGGCCCGAAGGTGGCTGAAATGTGATGGTAGGGGGTGGAATCTTTGTTTTTTATCGTATACATTTAGATACTTTTCAAAGCAATCTCAAATAACGACATTATTGTGACGAAATTGTTTGTCTCGGTGACTAAGCTACATGGCACGAGTGATGGAATCTGGAAACAAGACAACACCCGACCACAAAAGGCTACGATCAATGAAAACTCCTCCCAAACACATCAAATCATTGTAAGTTCTGGACTGGCCTGCAAGATCCACAAGCCATAACCCAACAGAACATCTGCTGTAAGATGACCTTGACTGGAGGATTAGAAACAGGCCGCACTCCGAACAAACTGGTCAGGAACTGAAGGCTGCACTTCACAAGGAATGGCACGGGGTTCTTCAGACAACCATAAGGACTTCAATTCAGTCAAAGAACAGATGTTTTGTATCAGTAATTCAAGCTGGAAGAGGCCACACGCCATGCTGAGCAAACTTTGATTTTGATTTTGCAAGAGTCAGTGTGAATAAAATTATCTCCCTTGAATAAGGTAAGACATTTGTCAATTCTTTTTATGTCATGTTGGCAGAAAATGAATAAAGATCGCGTGTACAAAATTTCTATTGGCTATGTTGAGTAGTAAATGAGTTATTGTACTTTTAAGGTAGGTGTGACAGAACTTTTGCAACTCGGTATATTATTTTTATTGATGGAGGCGTAAAATACTTTCAAATATAAACGTAAAATACATTAAGTAATGTTGGAAATCATTAATTGTATCCATTCCAATGGATTTATGAGTTCTCTTCATGTCCTTTGTTCTCTTAGCATTGCGTCTGTCCCCGAGCAGCTAGTTATACGCTTACAACTGTTGTTCGCGGGATATAACATTATATTATACTATCCATAATAATATTAGATTATGTTTATCGTTTCAGTGACGGGTCTGGGGAATCGAGGCTCAGTTCTGTCCGATGTTGTGTCCCAAGGAAAGGCACGCTACATGAATTCTTTCCATTTGGCTCGGTCCGATCAGATATGGACGTTCGGGTGTATCGCTGTTTAAATAACCTAACACGGGGCGTAAAACCAATAACATTTCGTATTTTTCCCTTTATTCTTCGTTTCAGTGCAAAATATGCAAGGCATGGAGAAGAACATCACAGCACTGTGGGAAAAGGTGAACATGTTGTCAGTGCCTGTTCACGTACACGTACACGGGGCGAGCACAGAAAGCGGTGACGTCACTGTGATGGCGGACCACACCAGAGATGTGGAGGAGCATCACCATCACCATTCTATGGAGAAACATGGTCACCACCACGCTAAGGATAAACATGGGCATGACCACGATAAAGGCAAAGGTCACCACCACCACCACGATTCTGAGGGGGAAGAGAAGGAGGGTGGAGAAGTTGAGGAGGAAAAGAATCCAAATATTATGTGGAATCCAAGGGATCGCACAGATAAGATGTCTCGTCTGAGAAAGGGGGGTAAGAATAGTCCTAAATGTTTTGTATTTTGCTGTTATAAGAAAGACTTTACCGTTTACTATACACTTTTTTGTCAAACCCCAAAGATAAACCAAGACATGTACATTGCTCAGATACAAAACGTCAAACTGTCATTCACATATTATTATTATTATTATTATTATTAT